CGATCCAGAACCTAAGGACAAAGACGTCATTGTGAGGATTGCAATTTTGTTCAGAAACTTTTTATTTGTTTTGGGAAACAGAAGTTTCCAAAATAGTATTTACCCACAGGGCATGCAAATTACTATTCTATTCTATTCATTCAATTCTATCCATTCCATTCCATTCCCTCTTCTTTAGGCTATTCTACTCTATTCTTTTCTATTATAAAACTGCTGGTCACAGCCTACCAAATTGATTTCATGACCAACTAATGGAGTTTGCAACCTGAGGTTAAAAAAAAGCCCTAAAAGCTAGATGATGTCCCTATTTTTTGTACAAGAGAAGGCCTAAACCAGAGAAGTTAACAAAAATTCATTTTACTCATGGATTTTCAGAAATATATAATGGCATAGAATGAAGTTCACCCATAACGGAGAATTATAGTAGGAGAAAAATCTGTGAGGAAATTAAATTAGATCCCTTTTATCCTTCCCCCAATCCAGGCAGCAACAACTCTACTGCGTTGTTGAGTGACTAAGACAATGACTCTCACTTTGTCTTCTGCCAGTAAGTTGTCGTACTGTTCCCTGTACACATCCAGGTCTTCTCTAGATTTCCGGACGGCTTCTGAAGTCTGGCTCTATAATAACATCAGGAATAGTTAAATGGAACTGGAGACTTTTCAGCATAAACAAAAATACTGGGGATTCTAAAAGGAACAAAGAATTTCCTAGTACGAGATAAATGTGTTAATGAAGTATCCATTACAGATAACATTTATAGAAGAAAATAAACCATTTAGGGACTTGGAAAGATTAAACATCCAATCGCCTGTTTCTAAGTATAGCCGGCTCTGTATGCGAGTACGTCTATGGAGCACCCTGCCTTCTTGGCAGGGCAGTGTGGATGAAGAAAGCGCACAGGCTTGGGAGTCACATGGACCTAGGTTCTGAGAGATTGAATATATATACAGACAATGGCTAGACCATTCATAAAAGTAGAACGCTGACCCACAACCTCTGCAGCAACCAGCTAACCATGACCTTTGTAGCAATTGGCCTCAAACTGTCAGGACTTGGTCGATAACTGCCAGCTTCTCTAATTTTTGTCCCCATTTCCAACTTAGGACCTTGCAGAGAAAGCCAAATATGTTCCCCAAACCAATCGCATAGGTTGTCCTCCTTCTAATTGGTTTGCCACCAGCTTCCTCATGCCAACAACTTCTGAGCAGGGTGTACCTGAAGCCCTCCCTTCTTTTCATTATAAAGCTTTCCCACTCCCTTGCCTGCCTTTGAGTCTCTGCCAAATGCGAGTGATGGTGGCCGATTCCTTCCTACACCAAGCTCTGACTAAATAGCCTCTGCTCATTCTCATTTGGATGGGCTTTGTTTATTTCCACCGTTCCAATTTCTGCTCTGTTACATACTAGTGCGTGACTTAGGCATGTTACCCAGCCTCTCTGAGATGGTCTTCTCGTCTGTGAAAGAAATCTAGTACACTGCAAGCTTGTTATGAGTTGGGTTGTATTTAGAAAGTGCTTCACATATGCTGTTTAACAGACTCTCAGAAAAAAGTAAGTTCATATGGCATTTATGATATTATGTTATCCATTCATAAATGTCCTTCATTAATACTACAATAAAAGCTGACATCTGTTGAAACTTATTATATGACAACCATTTTGTATTCATTGTCTCTTTAATGAACCATATCTATTCATGCTCATATTTAGATAAAGTTTTTCAGATTATGGAAATTTTTTATTCTATAAGCTAACCCATTATTTACATGTTTAGTAAAATGTGTCCTACAGTCCAGAGAAAACAATATTCCCTAAAGAAGACCTTGTAAGCAGCTTAAAAGGTTATATGCCTTATCCAAGGTCCCACAGCCACTCAGTGGTTAAAAGCTGTTGCTTTCAACCAGGAAGCTACATGGCCTCATTTCATAAACCACAATGTCATATGAAAGCTACACGGTTCTTTTGACTAAATGATTGCAGATGCAGAATCACATAACTTTATTAACAGATTGGAATGGGTACTTTCACCTGGCCCTCGAGCAAAGTCCACACAGGAAGCCAAGGGATACACATGGCTGAGTAGGAATGGCGGATGGAAGGAAGGAAGGGTCTAGACGTGGGAGCTCTCATTCAACCATGAGCACGTCTGTCAGAAAATGCTTGTACTCAGACAGCAGACCCTGCACTTACTTTCTCCTGCTGCTGCTTTGCAAGGTAGTTGTTCAAGAATAGTTCTCTGGAGCTTAATTCTTCATCCAACAGTAAAGAAAAAACAAGGTTATTTATTTTCAATTCCTCCTGTAGAAATATTTTGAAAAAAAAAGGTGGAGGGGAAATGATCAATACTTCTGAGAGAGGACTTTCTGTTGCTGGTCATAGACTTGGCACTAATCAAACAAGTTTATGGCATACAAGTAAGAGAAATCTTTTAAAGAAAAAGAGAATATAGATTGTACTATGTAGTAACAATTATACTATATAGTATATACTATATAACAATTATATAGGAATATAAATAGTTACAGTAACTATTCAGTTACTTCATCTTTTTCATCATTTTATTATAAGGTAAAACACATCTACAGAAAAATACACAAAGCAAATGCATAGTTTAATAAGTTATTATAAAGGCAAACACCCTTGTTATCACCACTCAATTCAAGAAATAGAACTTTCCACTGCAGAAATTCCTTCCAGGTGTCCTCATCCATATCTCAACCCCAATATTAACCACTGTCCTGGCTTTTATAGTAATAACTTCCTTGTGTTTCTTTGTAGTTTTATTACACAAGTGTGTATATTGCTATGGTTTGGATATTTGTCCCCTCCAAACCTTATGCTGAAATTTGATCCCCAATGTTGGAGGTGGGGCCTAATGGGAGGTGTTTGGGTCATGGGGTGGATCCTTCATGAATATATTAATGCCCTCTCCCAGGGGTGAATGAGTGTTTCCACTCTAGTAGTTCTCTAGAGAGCTGGTTGTTAAAAAGAGCCTGGCACCACTCCTTTTCTCTCTCTCCCCACCTCTCTCTCTCTCTCTCCCCACCTCTCTCTCTCTCTCACTCTCTCTCTCTCTCACCGTCTCACCATGTGATCTGGGCACAAGCAGGTGCCCCTTTGCCTTCTGCCATGGGTGGAAGAAGCCTGAGGGCCTCACTAGATGTCCAATATTGAACAATCCAGCCAGCAGAATTGGGAGCCACATAAAACCTTTTTCTTTATAAACTACCCAGCCTCATGTATTCCTTCATAGCAACACGAAATGGACTAAGACAGAAACATAGACATTACAGTATAATTTACTCGTTAAAAAGAAACTTGTCATGTTTTTTAATTGTCTTATAACCTTCATGTTCCCTTTTATCCCTTTCTTTTCCTCACAATTTATTTGTAGTTGTCAGTAGTCTCTGCAGTTTTGCCTAATCTGGGTTTTACTGACTACGTACCCATCAGCCTCCTTCATCCTTTGTATTTCCTGAAAATTGGCAGCTGGGTCCAGAGGCCTGATCAGACCTAGGTTTGGTCTTTTAGCAAGACCACAAGTGAGACTGTGTTCTTTGACAAGCAGACACATAATATCCGGTAGTCTTTCCTTCTGTGATGTCAGCAGCTGTAGATACTCAACGCCAAGGGCCATTAATCCACTGAGAGACGCGAAATGGTGACAGTCTATTTCTGGTTTCCCTTTTCACTTATTAATTAAAATACTTTGATAAAGAGATGCTTCTCCTTATCTACTCTTTGGTTACCCAGTGTACAGTTCATACAGGAAAGGCAGAGCAAATCCTCAATACTCTCCCTTTATCAGTTTGTAGATAATGAATTGGCTGTCATCCTCTAAAAGTGATAGATGAACATTTTTCTTATTAAAAATCACAAATTCATGAATTTAAATAAATTTGATGGGTTTCAACTAATTATGATTATTATCAGCTTTGAATCTTAAATTGTCTCATTTAGGGGAGACATTTTAAGTTGGCTCCTAAGTCCTTTTGATGTAACCTAGTAGTTTCCTCATTATCTTGTGTGACAAGATGTTCTAAGCATATATTTTTCTAAACAACGGTTTTATTGAGATATAATTCACATACCACACAATTCACCCTTTAAAGTGTATAATTTTAGTATAGTGTGTCATTTTTAACTTTTGATATATTTAGAGAGCTGTGTAACCATTGCCACGATCAATTTGAGAACATTTCGTCACTCTGAAACGAAATCTTTCAGCAGTCATTTCCCATTAACCCCTTCACCTCCTAGAGGCCTCCTCCCTTCCCCCAAAGCAACCACTTTTCTAATTTCTGACTCTATAGATTTGCCTATTTTGGACATTTCATATAAATGGAATTATACAATAGGTGGTTTTGGTGTCTGGCTTCTTTGACTTGGCATATTTTCAAGGTCCATCCATGTTGTAGCATATATTAGTACTTCATTTATTTTCATTGCTGAATAATATTCCACTGCACTGATAAACCATATTTTATTTATCCATTCACAGCTATTGCCTATCCGGGTTGTTGCCACCTTTGGGCTGTTGTGACTACTCAGGGACATTTGTTCCCAATCTTCTCTTTCACCCCCACTCCACACACACCCCTGTCTGCCAGACTGGTGGCTATGGTCTTCTGTCTATGACCACAGCTCCTGAGGAGCTGTCCTTTCCTATGGCCACGGGTCTTGCCGGGTTCTGGGAACAGCTCTCTTCCCGTGCCTCTAAGCTTCTCTTAGCTCTAGACATGGTGCTGGCGGCCAGTGGCTTCTCGTCCCAAGATGTTTACCATTCCTTGCCATTTCCCTTAACCCTGTCCGTACTTCTGTAAAAAGTCCCTTCATTAAACTCTGTTAAATGTAACCCATTCAGTTATTATGCCCGTTGGGACCCCGAGGGTGCAGCCATCGTCCTGGAGAGTCCCTCCACATGCCTCCAGTGCTGCGTCATCTTTTCTTGCTCACCCCTTGCTTTGGAGAGGCACATCTTCCAATAGCTCTCTGAGAATGACAGCACGTAAATTTGGGAGACCCTGCATTTCCCAAAATATCATTATTCTCCTCTTAAACTCAATTGAGAGATTGGGAATAGAATCCAATGTTAGAAGTAAGTTTCCCTCAGAATTTAAAGGCATCACTCCTTGATTTTCTTGCTTCTAGTTATTGCACACTTAATTTATATTTCCTTTGCTGGATGAAATTAAGACAGATTTTTCATCTGGTCTTTTGTGGCATGAGGATTATTCATTAAGTCAGTATATACTATGAACCAAGCCCTTTGTTACTTGCTGGAGATACAGAGATGAACAAGAAAGACTCATGGATGCATTAAGAAATAATCTCACATAAATGAAAATTCAGGTGCAATATGTGGTAGAAGGAAAAGAAGTATACAGTAGGAAGATATAACCTAGTCTGGGGAACTAACTTTTAAGCTGGGACCTGAAGGACAAATATAGTCTAGGAGGCATGGAAATTGGTAGAGAGTATGATTAGCAAAGTCGACAGACAGTTGTGAGGAAGGACGTGCTGGGTGTGTTCACGGGACCGAAAGAGGGAGTGTGGCAAGACAGGGGGAGGGTGGCCAAGATGAGGCTGGGGAGGGACCCAGGGCCAGGTGTTGGTCTTCATTCTAAGAACAATGGAAGGCCTCTGGAGGCTCCTTCAAAGAAAAAGTCACATAAGTAAAGCTTTTATTTACCTGGTTGACAACCATCTCTGCCTTTACTCTTCTTTCAAAGAGTCTTTTCAAATGTTCATCAAAGTTCTGTGTGCTTTCTTGAATAGAGTTTTGAAGTTTCTTCAATTCTGCTTCTAATGACTAAAGGGAAGACAATAGTAAAGTTAACTTTTGGGAATATTAAATGCTCCTAGGAAGTGGTGTTTACATTTTGCCACGATGGAGGGACAGGTGGAGGGCAAACCTTGCCAGGTGTTCTCGGCCTTCCGCTCCCTTCAACCAGAGATACTCCACTTGGATCTGTTTAATATACTGTGTGTCTGAGATTTTTGCTTAAAAAAGACTAAATTGGGGTGAAAAGGTCTTCATTTCCCCCTTTTTGACCTGTTCATGCTTTCTCATTTTTCCAATGCAAGCATAAATGCCACATTCTCAAGGAAGCCTTCCTTGGGCCCAGTCTTGGGCCCTATTCTAAGTCTAAGAAGCAAAGCCTGAAACAGGGTTCCAAGGCCTGTGATTTCTGGAGGGAGCGCTCTTTATGGTGGTAGCTGCAGAGGTGTCAGAAGAGAAGCTCCCGGGAAATCAAAAAGAAGGGTCTTGAAAGAGCAGAGGTGTGTTCTCCCAGGGCTGCTCCTGGGGAGAGAAAGGCAGGTTGAAAGAGGGAGGTGCCACTGCGAGACTTGGGGGTAAAGGGGAAAAAGGAAGGAAGAGGTGGAGGTTCAGAGAGTGAGAAAACTTTTACAGTGAAGACATCTGGAGAACGCTTCCTTACCGGCGGTAAGGTGCGAAAGGGTCCTCTAGGATCCTGCTACCCAAAGGAGGGTCCACTGGCCAGCAGCAGCTGTTAGAAGTGCAAAATCTCAGTGTCCTTCCACTTCCCCAGAGCTAGGATGGCATGATGGAATCTGAATCTGCATTTTTAGCAAGATCCTTCCAGCCTGAGAGCTCTGGGCTAGGGGGATATGGAGCAGCATCGCTGCGCAGCTCTAAGGACCCAGTAGAAACTGAGGTCACCCATTTAGAGTGAAACCAGCCAGGAGTCTTTTCTTTACCCACTGCGTGAGGGCAGGTGCAGAGAAGGCAGAGTGCTGGATTTAATCAAGGCTGGGGTTTCGGTGCGCGAATACCAGGAAGGAGCAGGGGTGCAGGCAGGGGACTATTTTACAACACAAAACTGTGTGGCAAAAATGCAGTTGAAAGGTCACCCTTCATTCCTTAGGCATCTGTACTCCCTAACTCCTTGAAATCTTCCCTTCTTTCAGGATTACTGGTTTCGGCTTTTAGGCAAGTATCATGTTAGGTTAAAATGCAAGGGACCCTAGAGGACTGCAGTGAATAAAAACGCGGACAGGTGAACAAAAGTTCCAGGAAGCTATTCACGAGCTACAGCCACCAACACGCTGGTGAGCTGCCCTGCCTCGAGTGACAGTATGATTTTACCTTCTTCACAGAAGAGCGAGTATTATTTGCGTGGTTGCTCACCATCCTCTTCTACTTCTCTACTGTAATCGTGAGCATTTGTAAAGTGGGAATGTTTCTTGGCAATGGAAGAGGATAAAAGGAGCAGAACCGCACTGCAAAACCCTCACGTTAGAATTGTTAAGCATGCACTGCATTGATCGCGTTGTGCTTTTCTCCAACCCTGTCCTTGAGATCGATCACAAATCAAACAGAAGTGTTACTGGACTCAAACACATGCAGACAAGACAGAGCCAGACCGTGCAGGGACCGGAATGTGCCGTAACAGGCATTCATGAAACATTTGAAGAATGAATGAAGGACGAAATAAATTGTAACGATGTGGGCAATGTTGAAATCAATAACTTTTTAAAACCATTGCTATACATTCTTCTTGTTTTAAATTGTTCTTACTCCTTAAGTTTATCTCCACCTACACTCTAAGTTCTCTGAAACGCCACCCTTAAGCTATTAAAGACACTGAGAAAATGAAGCGCGATTGAATAGACATTGAAACAAAACTGTGGATGTGGTAGGTTACATTAATTCTTTGTTCTTCTGACCTTTCTGTACTTATCTCTTTCTTCATTTAACTCCTTGACTTTTTTCTCATAATCTTTGAATTGTTTCCTTTCCTCTTCGGTCCACAAGGCATCAGGTTTTGTCATGAAAGGAGGCTGCGGAATCACCTGGAGACATAAAGAAAAGCATATGCTGTGGCTCAGACACAGTGTGGCAGTGTGGGGAAACCCCAGCATCATCATTAGGGTAGGAAAAAGAAGCCCTTTAAAAGGGCATGGTCTGGCCAGGCGAGGTGGCTCACGCCCGTAATCCCAGAACTTTGGGAGGCTGAGTTGGGAGGATCGCTTGGGGCCAGGAGTTTGAGACCAGTCTGGGCAACATAGTGAGACCTCCTCTCTACAAAAGAATAGAAAAAATTAGTTGGGCATGGTGGTGCGTGCTTGCCTCCCAGCTACTCAGGAGACTGAGGCAGGAGGATCGCTTGAGCCCAGGAGTTGGAGGTTGCAGTGAGCTGTAATGACGCCACTGCACTCCAGCCTGGGAGACAGAGTAAGACCTTGTCTCCAAAAAAAAAAAAAAAAAAAGGTACAGAGGTACAGTCCTTCACATTGGCAAGGATGATGACCTGACACTTTGACCAAATGGTATGAAAAAATGCTACACCTGTTTTTGTGTGACTTGGGTAAGGGTGGGCAGTGTGGGATGTGCCCAGTCTCTTAGGTGATAGACTCAGAGTTGTGTGTTGGTGTCTTCATAGTTAAAACTACACCTGAGCTCCAGGAACACCTGTATCAGGTATCAAAGAAAATGTTTCCTGGTGTATCTGAAGAATTGGATGAAGCAGTATCCCCGCCTTCTGTAGGACCCAAGGCACCGTGGTTACTTATATCTGTTCATTTGTTTGCTTTTTATCAGATTGGAAGGCAAGTCTTCAGTTTATAAGGAACTAGCAGGTTGCAGAATATTTGTTGCTGTAGAATTTCTAAAACCCAGGTTCATCTAGGACACAAATGGTAAAATTTAAGTAGCTCTTTCCACCCCATCCCACCTTCCACAAGGATGGCCAGAAATCTCACCATTCTCAAAATGTCTTCCTTCTTCACTTCCAGAACACCTCCCATCATGTCATTCAGGGCTCGGCGTCTCGTGTCGGTGCTCTGGGAAAGAGCCGGAAGCAGAGAGGGCAGCTGAGACAGGGATCTGACACCGCGTGGCAGAAGGGGCAGCCTCCCCCCGAGGTTGGAATGACTGACTGCATTTGGGCCTGGCGAAGGTGGGCAGTGGTGTGGAGGAGAGAAGGGAAGGAGGCCGGCTGAGACTAGAGTGACCTCTGACAGTGACAAACGCCTTCATGTGTTTCTACAGTGGAATACAAGTGTAAGACGATCAAACCAAACTGGGAACCAGTATCCTTAAAGGAAAGAGGGTCTTAGGTACCGTGTGAGCAAAACTGCATACCTGAGACTGAAGCCGACGCTCCACTTCGCGGATTGTAATCAATTCCGCTTTGGCTTTTTGCCAGGGATTAACGTGTTTGCGAGCTGTGATCTGAAAGAGAAAATGCAGCTTCCTGCTGTCATTGTTACAAAATTCAAACAAGTACAGCAGAGGCTGGAGGATAAGAAGACGTGCTCTGAAGCACGACGGTTGGGGTTCAAATCCCAACTCTGGTACTTACTAGCTTTATGACTATGTTCAAGCTACTTAACCTCTCTGGGTCTCACTTTCTCCACCTGTAAAATGGAGGTAATATTGGTACCTACCTTATAAGGTCTTATAACAATAAATTTGTTTCAATCTATCTAGGGCACTTAGAATGGTGCCCAGCATCTAATGGACTGTAAAAATATTTGCTGTTATAATACTTCCAAGTAATCAAGTTGGCTTCATGTGAGCAAGGGCTTTTCTTTGAGTGTTCTCTAGCATTTTATTTTTACTTAAAAAAAATGAAAATGGACATATTTTAATTGTTTAAGCAAATATTAATTTGCAACTGCCTCTGCGCCAATACCTTTGAAGAAAGCTGTCCAGAAAGCCCCCTTTCTCTGGGACCTACACTGCCCGAATGACCTGGATAATTACTGGAGCTCTGTTGGCCTCATTCCCACAACGTGACCCAACCTCTTTGGCTGGTACAGTCACTGGACTGAACTGGGCCAAGGAGCCCTTTCCCAGGTAAACTGGGAATTGGGACTAAGAGATTCTAATTCAGGGCAGCTGCTCTCTTGCGTGGAGGAGATTAAAGCAGAAATTGCCAGAGGAAACCGAAATGCAGAGAGGAGTGAACTAAGAGATGAAGAAAGAGGGTTCTGGACTCCCCCTGAGGCTCCAGTCTTTGGTCCCTGCTTCTTCCTAGGCTCGGTGTCCAAATCCCCCTGGACTCTGGGGGATTCATAAAAGAAATCCAATTATTGCTGAGGCGCTATCACCTGACCGGCTACCTGTGACGAGAGTGCTGCCTCATACAGTGGCTTCCAGCAGTGTAAACAGGATGAATGAACAGGAGCTGGGAAAAATCGCCCGAGAGAGAAGGGAAAGGCGCCGTAGCTGGCCAGTACCTCCTCATTTTCCACAACGAGTGTTCGCTCTGGCATCTCACAGTCCTCAAATTCTGGTCGCCAGACTTTTTCTTCCAACTCCAGATCTAAAATAATTTCTTGAATTCTAACATTTCTTTCCTTCACGCGTGCAATTTCGAACACTTTTTGTTTATACGCGGCATCAAACTCACTATTGAAAGCAGTTTTTACCTTGTAAATGATATCCTGAAATATCAATATGTTACTGAAAACACATCACATCTTGTACGTTTACTGGCAACATGATCCCACCATAATACTTTCCCTCCCAAATCATTCCACAAATTATCTTTTAAGAAGATAAGATAGTTTTTCTGGAATCTTGCTTATATTAAGTCATTTCTTGGTTCAGTAATCTACAGTGGCATCTAATCTTGGGTAGGATTAAGGCAACAGTGCACCTATTATATCATAACTACTTCCTGAAATGTAAGTTGTAGCTTAATGTGCAGGCATGTTGACAAATGTTGACAGGAGTGACGGGTACTTGGAGGCTCATTGGGCTATTCTCTCTACTTTTTTATAAAATCCATCATCAAACATTTAAAAGGCAATATACAGGACTTCAGTAGATAAGTGTCTTTGGACACATTGGAACTTTGGGGGAGATATGGAGAGGAAGGCACAGCCTGTAGAGGGTGGTTGGAGAAGCTCTCAGAGCAGCACCACCATACACAAAATTTTCCTCTATAGAGACAGATAATTCTCAGGTAGGAAGGAGCTGGCCAGTGGGATGAACCAGCTCCTAAGGGGACAGTGGGGCCAACTGGATTGCCCCTATTCCTGCTGATGGGTCAACTCAACGTGGCTTTTATGTTACCATCAGAATTCAGTCTATATATCTATCTTACTGAAGAGGAAATCATTAAAGTAGGGTGGGAAAAAAAGGATTTTAACAGATAGCATGAGAATTTCTCTTGGGCTGAAATTACCTCCTTGTAGGAAAACACCTAAATAAAGTAGCAAGGTGAGACCCTGGAGGCGAGGGTCAGCAGAAGCTGAGCAACAAGACCATAAGTAAATAGTTCTGAGTATAAATGAACAGGAATTTCAGGGGCTGCAGGAGAAAAAGAAGAGAAAAGGATAGGAAGAGAGAGCTCAGAACGTGGCAGGAGGCTAGAATTCAAATTACAGACATGGCTTTCGGGAACAGGAATAGCCAACGTTAAATTTCAAACTATCTGCATTGGTGCAATCTCAGTGCATCTTCAAAAACCCACAGTTTGGTCCTGTACATGCACAGATGTGTTCTGAGACTGACTTGTTTGGTAGAAAGTAAGGAGTAGGTACTTAGAGCCAGAGGGACCCCACACCTTATCTCTGAACCCCCAAGTTTACAGAAATCTTAGAGAGGAAATTTTTATTTCCCTGGGTTGGGCAATCACATCTTGATCTTACAAGGAGATCCTAGTTGACATCTGGGTTGCCGAGAATATGGAATTAAGGATTTCTTTTATCTCTGAGCTTACTGAAGATCTAAGCAGAAGAATGGTTTGTGGTGTCAGCCAGGGTGGGATGTTCTTTAGAAAACTTGGTATCATAAAACCCAGTCTGAAAGGTTGAAATCAACTCTCATACACAAGCTCTGTCTAAAGGACATGGACACTGGCCATCTGTACATTTCTCTGTGTTTTTTATTTTATTTATTTAAAAACTTTTTTTTTT